TCATTATTTGATATCATGTAGGCCACCTTGATTGCAAACTCCAGGCTGTCACCTTTCGGCGACATAAGTACGATGCCTAAGCCACCTCCGGCCCTCGACACCGATCCATCTGCAAACACTTGCCACACGCTTCAGACTCCTCGCTCTCCTTCGTCCCCTCTTGTATAAAATCGGCCAGTGCCTGAGCCTTAATTGCCCTCCTCGGCTCGTAGATAATTGTGTATTCACTCAGCTCGACTGCCCACTTGACCAATCTCCCCGACACGGAAGGTCGACCCAACGTTTCTCCCAATGGCATATTCGTCTGAACTTTCACCCGATGTCCCAAGAAGTATGGTCTCAGCTTTCTTACAGTGACAACCACCAGCCAAGGCCCCTTTTTCAATCTCTTAACACATCCTCTCCGCCCCTTTCATCACTTTACTGACGTAATAGATCGAAAATTAGGCTGCTCCTTCCTCTCGCAGTAACACCGAGCTCACCGCCGTCTCCCCAATGGACACATATAACACCAAGTCCTCCCCTTGCACTGGTTTTTCCAATAAGGGTAGGTCGACCAACACCTTCTGCAACTCCTCGAATGCTTTCTGGGCTTCTTCTGTACATTGGAATTTCGAGCTTTTCCTGAGCGTCTTAAATAGGGGCCCGCTTTACTCAGCTACCTTAGAAATAAAGCGGCTCAGGCCTGCTATTCGACCAGTTAGGATCTGTACCTCCTTCAACTTCGTGGGGGGCTGCATCTCGATCACCGCTCTCACTTTCTCCGAGTTGACCTCGATTCCCCTCTTCGTGACCATGTATCCCAAAAACTTCTCAGATTTGACCCCGAATGAGCACTTAGCGGGATTTAGCTTCATCCCATACTTCTGGAGGGTCATGAACGTTTCTTTCAAGTCATTTACATGGTCAATTTCCTCTTTGCTCTTTACCAGCATATCATCTACATACACCTCCATGTTCCTTCCCACTTGATCTTTAAAAATTTTATCCACCAACCTCTGATATGTCGCCCATGCATTCTTTAGCCCAAATGGCATCACCACATAGCAGTATGTTCCACGGCTTGTTACAAAGCTGACCCATTTCCAATCATCTCGGGCCAGCGGGATCTGATGATAACCCTGGGATGCGTCCATCAAACTGAGTAGCTCACACCCGGCTGTGGAGTCGACCAGCTGGTTGATCTTGGGCAGCGGGTATAAATCCTTCGGGCATGCCTTGTTCAAATCTCGAAAATCTATGCACATCTGCCATTTACCCTCTGACTTTGAGACCACAACCGTGTTCGATAGCCACTCTGGGAACTGGATCTCCTTTATGTGACCTGCCACCAAGAGTTTTTCTACCTCCGCCTCGATTACTTTATCCATTTCTGCCCCGTGGTGTCTCTTTTTTTGCTTCACCGGTCTTACAGTGAGGTCGATGGTCAACCGGTGCTCAATAACTTCTGCCTTGATGCCAGTCAACTCCTCCGTCGAGTATGCGAACACATCCGCAAAATCTCTAATCACCTTAATTAGCCTCGATTTCACTGGCTCCTCCAATTCCTTCCCGATCCAAAATTTCCTCTCTTCGCACCCATTGACCATCTATATCTCCTCCACTTCGCCACCCGGCTGTATTTCTACATTCTCCTTCCCCTTCTCTTTCTTATGCCTCTCCTCCTTCGACATCGACCCTCCCGGTCGATTAACATCATCCATCTTAGGGTGCATTTTCCTCCTTGCTAATTGCTTGTTGTTGCTCATAGTGGTCTGGTAGCAGCTTCTCGAGGTAAGTTGATCCCCAGCGATCTCACCAACGTTTTTGCCCACCGGATATTTGATCGTCATGTGGTACGTGGATACGACCGCCTGGAACGCGTTTAGGCTCGTTCTCTCCATTATGATGTTGTAGGATGATTCAGCTCCTACGACCTCAAATCTCACCACTCGAAACTTTCGGGTCGCTCCCTTTCCCAGTGCTACAGATAGACTCACTTCCCCCATTGGCATAACCTCCCCGCCATTAAATCCATACAAGGTCGTAGCCACCGGCTTCAGCTCCACATTCAACTCCCGATTGATTTGCACGAAGCAATCATAAAACATGACATCGACCGAACTCCCTGTGTCTATAAACACCCTCTTCACATCAAAACCTGCAACTTCAGCTGTAATTACCAAGGCATCATTGTGAGGTACTACCACCCCTGCTGCATCCTCTGCTCGAAAACTGATTTCTGGTACCCGGGCCGTAATACCCACCTCCTCTCTTTTCCTTTTCATTGCTCGAACATGGCCTCTCCTTGCATTATTCGAGTCTCCGTCCGTCGGTCCTCCTGAAATCATATATATCGTGCCTTTCTTCACTTGGCCTCCATCTCCTTCTCTTTCCCGCTCCCTACTTCCTCGCCTCTTTTTCCCCTCATCTCTTTTTCGACCATCTCGACCACCTCGTGTATCCTCATCATCATCTTCCTCGCTCCTCTCCACCGAGTCCTCCCGACACCTTCTCTTCTCCTTCCTCCTCCCCTTATCCTGATAGACAAACTCCTTGAGATGCCCTGCTCGAATAAGGTGCTCAATCTCGTCCTTGAGATGCCGACAATCCTCAGTAGTATGGCCATAGTCTTTGTGGAAGCGGCAATATCTCCTCGACTTCGGTTGGGTTGGCCCTTCGAACCTCGACCTTGGCCACGTCACATCTTTCCCATCTATTCCTTTCTCTATGGCCATCAAGACCTCAGCTACCTTCCCGTTCAACGGGGTGTAATCATGAAATGTTTTCCCTCCAAAGATAGGCCGGTCCTTCCATCTGTCCTCTCGTCCTCGATCCTGCTGAGCTCGCCCCTCTCTTCTGGGCGAGGCTCTCCTTTTAGGCGAAACTGCTTTCTTTTTCCTCGACTCCCCTCGACCTAACTCCTCTAGCTTGGCAAACTCTGCCTCGGTCTCCTCGAGATTAATATATTTCCTACACCTCCTCAACACCTCATCATACGTCTGAGCATGAGTCTTAGCCAGAGAAGTCCGAAACGGTCCTGCCCGCAAACTCCTAATCAATCCTCCCGCCTTGACCTCATCGACCGCCGACGGAATCTCCAAGCAAGCCTGATTGTATCGAGCGACATATTTGCGCAGTGATTCTTTCTCGCCTTGTCTCATCACCATCAGTGTCAAATACGTCTTCTCCTGAGTCACCGCGCTCGAATATTGATTTGTCAACTTCTCCGTGAAATCCCCGAAGTCCACAATCGAGCCTGGGGAGAGCTGTTGGAACCAGTCGAGCGCCCCTCCCCTAAGGGTCGATAAGAAGGCCCTGCAACTAACGGGATCAGTATATCCATGCAACATAGCCATATTTTCAAATGTCCTCACGTGTCTCGACGTGTCAGAAGTCCCATCGAACACCAAGTTGGTATCCTTGTAATTATTTGGCAAGGGTGCTGCTAGTATGTCCGCCGAGAACGAGTGTCCTCGAGCGCGTCTCTCCGCTCGACCATCCACCTTAGCCTGCAATTGGCGCAGCTGTTCCGCCATCCTCTCCATCTCCCGGTCATGTGTGGGCCCGCCTCCACCATAGTTGGATTCATCCTCCTCCGCATTTTGGCGTGACCCTACAACAGTGTTTGGCATCGTTGTGGCCCGAGAGAGACTGTTTGTGACCTGATGCACCGCCTGGGCAGCTGCCTCCGCCACCATTTGTTGCATCTCCTGCCTGGTCATCACCACCTGCTGGCCGGGGACTTGCACTGTTGCCTATGGTGGTGCTCCCCCTTGTCCTGCTGCTCCCCCTGGCTGCGCCGCTACTCCTCCTAGAGGCGCGGCCGTTGGGTTTTGTGGCGGCGGTGGTGGCATCACCGCTGCATCCGCTGCGCGAATCTCCTGGGCACGATTGGAGCCGGCATCTCCTTCGGGAACCACTGTCGTTGCTTCTACACCTTGAAGAACCGGTGTAGGAGTGACCGTCGTCTGGGATGGGCCAGAAAAACACGGAGAAGGGCCTTGTCCAAACGGCCTGCTCGTCGTCCATGCGTCGTCGAACGTCGAGTGTAAATTTTTGGGAATTCCGTCCACCATAGCTGAGCTTCAAACACTTCTTAAACGAAAGTCCCACAGACGGTGCCAAATGGTAACACAAAACTTCCCAACCGGCTGGAACTTGAATAATCGCCTTCCTTCTTGCCGGTTGAACGTCGTGCACCTACAAAGAACTCTCACACCGGAGGGGTTTTCTGGTAAAGAGCCTCCGAAGCTTAAGTCAGTGTATGTTCAATCAATTCTCAAGAGTAAGTAGTAAAATGATCGTCTTGAAGTAGAAAGGCTCACCCCCTTTATATAAGGGTGAGATACCTGACCTAGGGCTGCC